GTGTTTGTTCTTGAAAAAAGAAGAAAATTCAACAGTAGCTTTAAACTTTATTGATCAAATAAATAATCCAGCCAAGATAGGTAGATACACAATTATTACTAACAAAAACTACGATAAAGAGAGTGTGATTAAAGAAAATTGCCGACTTTTTCGCCTGGTATTTTACATTGAGCTTTTTTAAAAAAGCAATCAATTTTGAAAACTTGCTGATATGTTAGGTATTTCCGACTATAATTGTAAATTTTAACATAGAGTATAATATAGGTGGACCTGAAGACCATAACGTTGAGGATTATTTAATTTTGGCATTTTCCGAAAAAAATGCAAGAAAATACTTGTCCCAAATTTTTAATTATGCCGTTTTTTTTAGCATTTTATGTGGAAATTTGGATAGATTTAAAATTAAAAACTTCGTTTCATTGTGGTTGCTAACTAATTGTTTATTGGTTGTGTTGATGGTTACGGCACTGCGTTTCCGATTGTTTGTTTATTTTCACCAAAGTAGCGGGCGTAAAGTAATAAAGCAAATGCGGTCGTGAAGTAAATGCGGCCGTAAAGTAAATGCGGCCAAAAAAGATATACTTTAAAGATGATATTGAATCCGTAAAACTAATCTTTTTGTGACAGTCGCCTAAAAAATAACAATAGTACTCATAAAATAATTATTCAATTACTAAAAAAAAAAAATTATGACCAGAATAAGCCTTTTTTGTTTCGCCATCATTTGGAAACCGCTTAACCAAATGTTTTCAGAATCGGGGATTAAGTTGAGAATAAAGAGATCTTCAAAACGATATATCACTCGACACCGCCTTCTATTTAAAAAAATGTTGCAAAACTGCGCTTAGCTGTCACTTTGACAGCTGAAGCTGTCATTTGCATTTCAAAAAATGAAAAATTTGCTCACATATCATCATTCCAAATTTCGTTGCAATATACCGAGCGGTTCAAAAGTTAGAGGGGGGCGACGGACTTTATGTCCTCACTGTATAATACCACAAGAGAAAAAATTTTGTTACCAAAATTTTCGACCGGTATAGAAGTTTCGCAATTTCGCGAATGACCACGAGCCGTGAAGCGAGTGGTTTTGTCAAAAATTTCATGAGCGAAATTACCAAAAAGCAACAAACTTGCTTGAATAAAACCAAGAGAATAATTTTGCCTACATAATTTTTTAGAGCATAGAACTGACCAGAAATAACGGAAGGGCAGATGGACAGAATATCACACACCACTTGTATAATTCTTATACAAAGTTGTGTACATTTAAATTACATGATACTGGATATTATAGTCCAACAAATACCATTTTAAAGTCACGTGATTTTTCTCTATCTTTGTTAAATACACCTCAAACAGCGGTGATAGTAAAATTATGGTAAAATTGACAAAAAAATTGCTGTCTAATTATTGTTCATAATATTCTTACCTGAAATAGAATCCGTCACTGTCATCAATTAGTTTGTCAAAGTTATTTTCGAAAATAATACAACAAACAAACACAGCTAATAATTTTGACCATATTAACCTTTTTCCAACTCGAAAAAAAGCAAATAGAAAACGGGTACCCAGTTCAAGTTCAGAATGTATTACAACAGACAGCGGATGTGACAAAAATGTGTCTCGCAACAATTGCAAGTATTAAAATTGCCCTCTGATTGGTCAATACTACTTCAGAAACGCGTTTGTAAAATGCTAGTGGGAACATATATTAAAATTTAATAGTAATTAACCACCAGTAGCTTTTTGTAGGTGATATCAACGACATAATCAATGGACATACGTTTTTTGCCACCAGTATCACGTGACTTTAAAATGGTATTTGTCGGACTTTACCACATGGAACGGAATGAGCATTAAACACGTTTGTACTTCCGTATTTCCTACGAGAACTCCCATGGGTGCTCCGCACCCATGAGAGGTTGCTCATGGGTGCACCTGCCCCGATGCCCCCATGTAGTCGGCGCCAGTGCTAATAATTCATAATGTTTTTTGCTCGCCGGTCTTGCATTTCATCTTTCTTTGTGTTGTCAAGTGTTCTCAAGTGATTTCAAAGTTGTTTTGTGTGTTTCAAGAAGAACTTCAAACTTTATAAATTGGAAGATCTATTTTTATCTTTGTTGATTAGATAAATGACAGGTTCAATTAAACATTAATCAGAACTTTGAATAAATATGTTAAGGATACCCTTAACCATCGATAAAGAAACTGTCTTTTGATCTGATTAACAAATTGAGGAAACATTAATGCCCCAAAGTCCAGAATAAACGAATTTGAACAGACCGACAGTATGCGAACAGGGCGCCATCTATCATAAAAAGTCCTTTGTAAAGTAGGTGTCTGTAGCATCGATGCAAAACCAGTAAATAGTGATTTTCCGATATGGTAGATGGCGCTGGCTTGGCTCAATTTTGTTGACCATGCATGTGCAACTCTTATGGCGCAATTTGTTCCGCTAAAAGCTTGCGACTACAGACGGCAGAGGTGCTGTCGTCCAATGCTGTTGTCAGAATTATACATAAAAAGTCCAGATTATTCTTTATTTGTTTTAAAAAGCTTTCAACAATAGGAAAAAATAGTCGTGTACCTCGCTAACATATAATTGCTAGTAGTACGATTTGAAATTACATTTCTTTTTCAAAAAAAATATCCCATGGTTTTGACATGTGGCAGCGTCGCTTCACTTTTACTTTTTCATTATATTTTGACAAATTTTGACATATTCCATTTTTATTCAATAATTTGAATCAGAGATTGAAAATTTTCTCCGTTCAAAGCAAAATGGTTTTATCTTGTTGTGTGGCAATGTGTGAAAACCGAGGGAACAGAGTAAAAATTCATCGAATTCCGAAAAATGATGAACAGGTATGTTTCAATCCCTACATTATACCGAAATCGGGATTTTACCTTCTGTAATTTTACCACTGTAAATTTCTTTCTTTTTAGGTGTTCATTTTATGTCTGCAAAACGTTTACAATCAAAAAATCTTGCTCATTGTAGGTACCTATTATTGACTGGATTGATTATCATACTGTAGTTAATAAAGTAATTCAAAATTGTTATTTTTGTATTTAATACATGGATTAATTAGCATGTAACTCTTCGGTTTGTGATCAAGATACTGTTTATCATAATTTTATTTCCACTAGAAACATATTAAATTGTTCAGTGCTAGTGGCAATAAAAAATGATAAACGGATCCTAAAGAAAAAAAAAAATTTAAAAAGGAGCGCTTCCCGCGCTCTCAAGTTGCTGACTACACACGCGAGAGGGCGCTGTAATCAGGAACAAAATGTTTGTATTGAGTTGCCTATCTATATTATAGGTTCGAGAGAGTTTTGCATCCCTTATCTATGTTGTTGACAACAATATTTACACTGAGATTCCATTCTCGACAGTTTATATAGTATTTATCTCTGATTATTACAAAAACTGTTTATTATACAATGGTTCACATCTGTTGTGTGAGATCTTGTCAGAATTAGGCGAAAAAGAAGTCAAACCATTCTTTTCATAAGTTCCCAAGCAATCAAATTTCAAGAAAACAATGGTTACATGCTCTCAACCTGACTGAAGACGATTTAAGTTAAAACAGAGAATTGAGGGTTCGTGAAATAACGTTTTCTATATCTAATACAATAATAATTCTACAATTAAAGGTTTGCTAGCACTTGCAAATTCGTACTTCTCAAACTTTTCTAAACTTTTCCCCCACATATTTGTCGTATTTACATTTAAAAATAAACAAAAACAGAAACATAACCGAAATTCCACAATTTGACAAGTGGAACCAATCAAAGTCATTCCACACAGGTATCATGCGTCATTATATGTATCTCTTTTTTTATTACAGAAATTTTAATAAACTATCCTTGTTGTTCATTGCGTGAGAAAGGTCTATAAAATACCTGGGAAAAAACGGCTTCATTTTCCAAATCCAGGTTACTACTCCTTTACCTTTACCTGCTCTAAGAGTCAACCAAAACAAAGCTATTCTATGAATGGGATGTTCTGTCTATCTGTGTTAATAGGTCATTGGTTTTTTTGTTACTTAGGTAGGTATGTTACCTACCTACCTAAATAGAATCGCCGGAGTAGATAACTATTCGACATTAACGTGAAAAACCAAAAAATCGGGCATGGTTTTGAAAAAAATGTTCGCCTGCGGCGCTTTTTTTATATGTATGTAGGTAGGTACAGTTGCGATCAAAAAAAAGTAGTACAAAAATTATTAACCCCAATTTGAGCTCCCGGTGTAACATACAAAATTTTGACAGGCAATGACATATTCTGGGTTAAAAACGGGTGGAAAAATGTCAAAATAATGAAATCTGAAGCTTGGTTATGAATTAAATTAATAGGTATATAATAGACCAGGAGATTTTGGAGATTTTTCTTGTACTACTTTTTTTTGATCGCAACTGTACATTAGACCTCTGCTTCATGAAAGTGTCCCGATTTTTCATGAAAACCGAAAAAAATATGGTAGCCTTCACTGGCACCCTCAATGGCGTAACACCCAAAAATTTTTCAAAATGTGTCCTTTATTTCAATAACCGAAAGTTGGCAACTCTAGTGTGAACCCCTTCAAGTATAGACCACGAGCCGTTACTGATTGAGAAGCTCTTCCCCCCCCCCCCAGGATGGTACTCTAGATACGCCACTGCAAATTATTATGTGCTTATTCATCATAACCAAATACGAAGTGTTTGTCCTCTATTTTTCATTTGAAATGATTATGTTCTTGTGAACGAGGGCATCTGATTAAATTGCAAAATATTTCGACTATTTAAGCTTGTCTTGAGGGATTCCAGAGTCTTAATGTCAGATATTCTAAACCCAACTACTACCCCCAAACAAAACCCTTACTGTCCCTTACCGAGGAAATTGTAATATGCTTTATTCAAGATACAAAAAAACTTCCTTCAGTCAATGATACACTAGAACATTTTCTGGCTCCTTGATGTTTGTGAAAAAGGTTCAACAAAAAAGTACTTACGAATGTTTTAGCTAATGTACATAATGAACGCAATAGCGTCTTATCGTCTTGATCTGTTATTTTCAAAATGTCAATTACGCATTTTGCTGCGGCAGATGCAATTCGGTAGTCTTCATAGTAGATCGCTTTCGTTATTTTTGGTAACCATTGTTTGCCGAGATTTTTTGTTCCTAACCTAAGAAAACAAGTACTTTATAAGGTTCTACAGGAAAACATTCTCACCTTTTGACCAATACAGAAGAAACCTGGATAGCTTTCAGGACAACCTCCAGTTTGATATCGGAAACTCTGCCAAAAACATAGTTGCTCAGTTGTTCTTTAGAATTCGGAGATAAACACTCAACTACGCTCTTATTTTGAACTATTTTCATAATTAAATCCAGGCTTTCTATGCGGACTGATGCTACATCACATATAACCGAATTCTTTAAAATTTCAAGGCAATTGTAACCGTCAATGAATACTGATGGCGCAGCAATGATAAATTGTTTTAGTTCTTTGAGTGATTCGATTCTAAGAGGCGCCATATTTTTATCTGGAATGCAGCTAAAAAAGAAATACAAAACCATATAGTAGATAGAAATAGTTCTTTAAACGTACATGGACAATGAGATGCCTAAAGGGACGTCTAAAGAGTATTTGAGCTGTCAGAGACGAAAAACTAGCCTAGATGAGGCCAGAATTACAATGAAGAGATTGGCTTTATAATTGTCTTATCATCAATTTTTCAAACCTAAAAGTTGCTGGAGGCCTTCACCCACTATTTTTACATCAAATTTGGTGAAATTCAGTTGAATAATTTTCTAGTTACGTTTATTCGAGTACTCTCTCATAATATTTTTATAGGAAGTTAAAATCAAAATTCAATATTCAACATTGTTCAAAAATAATAATTAACATTTCCTATCAAAAAGGTAAACAGCAAAAGCTTTGTATAGGTAGGTAGTGACAAAGCTCAGTGGATTTTTACCATGATGGTGACATGCAATGGATTTGGCAAGCAAGTCGGACTGCCTCCAACTCCATAATAATCCAATCATGAAATAAAATACATATCTAATAAAATTAACCCAAATGTTGTATGCTCCTCTTTGAGAAACTATAAACAAAAACCATTTTTCAAATTGGTGTGAAACTTGAGGCAAAATACCGAAAAATACTTAAGAAAACTAAAAATAGTCTCTTCTGGTCCCTTAGGATTTTTCTGGATACATTCACCACCAAGTCGTATTTTTAACTTACCAGCCCTTCGTAAAGTGAACATATAAGAGATTCAAATAACTATCCAGAGTATTCGATTTAAATCCCTCCAGTGCCATATCAGCAACTTGTTCTTTCACCATGCAAATGCCGGTGAGTAATTTCATGCCTAAATTAAAATATTTTATAAAAGATAATCTTATCCTAAAAAACATCTTACCAAAGAGATATGAGGCGTACAGTAAAGGCCTAAATTTATTGGTTCTCATGGCAATCAAAAGGTTTGTAAATTTTTTGAGGACTCCGCCATATAGGACATCTTTTTTCTGTGCCTGAACAACGAGCTGCTGCAGAAAATAGTAAATGCCATTTTTTAATACTCTAGCATTTTTCGAAGAATCCTCTAGAAGAAATCTTGTAGATTTCTGTAAATCATTTTTTTTTGAGAAGAAGTTTATTGCGAATACGAAGTTAACTTACAAACACAACGTTAGTGTATTCTCTACCATTCAAAATAGATAGCAGCGCATTGAGATTGCCATAGTATTTTTTTACATCAAAAATTTGATATCCGGCACAATCGAAGAAAAATCTATACAAAATTATTGTGCTCGAATCTACCGATCGGCAGGAACAATAGTGAACAAACCATTTCGCTATATCTGGTGCACTTGCAGGATCATTCATAATACGAAAATACAATGAATTATCGTCTTCTTCTTGCAAGGGTTTGTAGAGATTCCAAAATATTCCTCTGCGTTGGATGGATCTACTTCTGTTAAAGTAGTCTTCGAAGTTAAAATCGTCATCATCTACAATAATAAGTAATGAAAATAAAAATTAAAAAACATCGTGGAAGAAAAACCGTCTAGGTTTCTTAAGCTTCATACATTACGCCGAACAACAAACAGAAAAATGAATCGAACAGCAATCCAAACACTAATTTGGACGAGGCTACGAACGCGTTTGCAAACCCAGTTCGCAAATCCTGGCTGTTCGTACCTCCGTCAACATTAGGGTTTCGCTTGTTGTTTGGTTCGTTGTTCTGTTTGTGGTTTGGCGTAATGTTCACATCAGGTCTATACGAAGCTTTAGATATAAGAAATAACTCAATAACTTGTCATGTTCCATGCATGTGCAACTCTTATGGCGCAATTTGTTCCGCTAAAAGCTTGCGACTACAGACGGCAGAGGCGCTGTCGTCCAATGCTGTTGTCAGATTTATCCATAAAAAGTCCAGATTATTATTTATTTGTTTAAAAAGCTTCCAACAATAAGAAAAAAAAGTCGTGTACCTCGCTAACATATAATTGCTAGTAGTACGATTTGAAATTACATTTCTTTTTCAAAAAAAATATCCCATGCTTTTGACATGTGGCAGCATCGCTCCACTTTTACTTTTTCATTAGTTTGACAAATTTTGACATATTCCATTTTTATTCAATAATTCGAATCAGAGATTGAAAATTTTCTCCGTTCAAAGCAAAATGGTTTTATCTTGTTGTGTGGCAATGTGTGAAAGCCGAGGGAACAGAGTAAAAATTCATCGAATTCCCAAAAATGATGAACAGGTATGTTTCAGTCCCCACATTATACCGAAATCTGGATTTAACTCCCTGTAATTTGACCACTGAAACTTTCTTTCTTTTTAGGTGTTCATTTTATGCCTGCAAAACGTTCACAATCAAAAAATCTTATTCTTGTAGGTACCTATTATTGATTGGGTTGATATCATCAATAAAGTAATTCAAAATTGGTATTCTTGTATTTAATACATAGATTAATTAGTATGTAACTCTTCGGTATGTGATCAAGAGACTGTTTATCATAATTTTATTTCCACTAGAAACATATTAAATTGTTCAGTGCTAGTGGCAATAAAAATTGATAAACAGATCCTAAAGAAAAAAAAATTAAATTTAAAAAGAAGCGCTTCCCGCGCTCTGAAGTTGCTGACTACACACGCGAGAGGGCGCTGTAAACAGGAACAAAATGTTTGTATTGAGTTGCCTATCTATATTATAGGTTCGAGAGAGTTTTGTATCCCTTATCTATGGTCATGTTCATTAATTGTTTTCATGTTCACCAACAGCTTTGTAAATAATCTTGTGATCCCCGACATCCCCGCCCTGAACACATTATTTTTGAGTAAGTAATTATTATTGGGAACTTCTCAACGAATATTTCTAGCGAGTTTGGTGATATAGCACTTGGTGTAAAATTTTTTTTTATAGAAGTTAGATATTTTTTCAAATTTCTTCCTGCTTCTTGAGTTGAACCTTTGATAATAGAACGCGTTTTAAAGGGCTAAAGTATGTTCGGTATTTCAAATTTCACAATTTTATCAGAAGTCAGCCTATATACAGGGTGGCCCATTTTCGATGTTTCAATGGGCTATATCGAAAACCAGAGGAGATATCAAAAATCTGGGAGCACATTCTCGAGCTCTTTTTTTGAGAAAATAACAATGGCGAAGACAAATCACGGCTAACTTGACGCGTTTAGGAAATATAGGGCAATTTTCGAATTTTGTCCAATTTTAAAAGGCCTTCTAATTTCTCTATTAATTAAGATATCCAAAAACCAAAAATACTTTCTATAGGCAGTTTTTCAAGTAGAATCCAGTGACATAACCAATTTTTTTTCAGGTGCCGCCGATGTTTGAATATTAACCCAAATTGGGTTTTTTAAAATGGGACACCCCGTATATTATTTTTTCATTGCATAGCTAATTTTGAGCTGATTTCAATGATACCAGGTTTTATAGCTTTATATTTAATGGTGGTGATAAATAAGCAACACATAATTTATTTAATGACTTATCTCTTTCTAGCTCATTGTTTCTTATATGTGGAGAAAAGGAATTTATTTTTTTTTCTCAAAAACTATTGAAGGTAAAGCTATAAAACCTATATCATTGAAATCAGCTCAAAAAGGGCTATGTAATAAAAAAAATAATATACCGGCTGTCCCATTTAAAAAACCACAACTTTGGTTAATATTCCAAAATCGCAGGCATCTGGAAAAAAATTGGTCATGCCACTGGATTCTACTTGAAAAACTACCTATAGAAAGTATTTTTGGATATCTTGATTAATGAAGAAATTAGAAGGTCTTTTAAAATTGGACAAAATTTGCGAATTGCCCTGTATTTCCTAAACGCATCAAGTTAGCCGTGATATGTCTTCGTTAATGTCATTTTCTCAATAAAAGAGCTCGAGAATGTGCTCCCAGCTTTTTGATATCTCTGCTGGTTTTCGATATAGCCCATTAAAACATCGAAAATGGGTCATCCTGTACATACATGAATGGATTTGCGGATATGCAGTGAGTTCATAAAGTCCCGCATAAATTCATTATTTTGAACAGTAGAATTTTCGGAAAATCGCTCAGACACGTCAATTTTGTTTTTTTTTGTTTGAAATTTTTAAATATATTTTTTATTATACAGGGTGTCTCAAAAATAGCTTCGCTGGTATCAATTTTATTTTTTTAAATGGTACCCCCTGTATATTATGACATTTCTGGATTCTGCGGAAAATTCTAGTATTCATTTCATGTATAATGTCATATACCTATCTTCAACTGTTTCGGAAATTTTGACAGTTGAAAATTGACTTTTTTGCAACTTTGTAGCTTTTCATAAGCTATCATTTGACACCAACTTTGAATTTAACCGGAGATCAATTTGAACCGGAATTTTTAATCATGGATTAACTTCAAAGTTAGTGTCAAATGATAGTTTATGGAGAACAATGACAAGAATGTATGATCGGTTTTGCTGTAAAATCAACCGTTCAGATTTTACAGTCTGGCAAAGATGCAAAAAAGTCAATTTGCAACTGTCAATATTTCCGAAACAGTTGAAGATAGGTATATGGCATTGTGCAAGAAATATGTCTAGAATTTTCCGCAGATTCCAGAAATATCATAATATACTCTAATTATGTTGAGGTAAACCCCCTTTTCAGATCCCCGTTTCTTGGACTACTACCACAGATCACCTAATACAGATGCGTAAGTACGTATACTTGCTGTCGACGATATTCTGTGACGAAGCCGGGCCGCCAGCGGCCCCACGCATAGATAAAGGTCGCCCGCGTCAGGACAACTAACGTGGCCGAGTGCGTGAGCATGTTCCAGCCTGTGTGTTTACGTATTTTTGCGGGTAGAAAAATATTTTTTTGCTGTTTGTGAACCAATTAAAGAAATAATATTTAATTATTGAGCTTCCGCATTTATATAATAAATATGTTCAAAATACATTAATGTGGCATGGTGCGGCCAGCCTATGTCTATCAAATTCATCTTGAACCACGAATTCGCCGCTTTCGCATGTGTATGTAAGTAATCTGTGCTACTACTACAGTTTGTTTATGTAAAATAGTTTTCCATTTAAATCTTCTCACACAATCACAGACCACAAAAAAAAAACACAAAAAATAATCGCAGCTCGGCGTTCGGCGTCCCAGCTCGGGAGCGTGAGGTGGCGTTCGACAGGTACTTATGGCCATACCACAGCCCTCTACACTTACAAGCCATGAAGTTGGAAATAACGGCAACGTCGCCAATGGTGCTATTTTGCTATTGAGGTTATATGTTTCTGTGTATTGTTTTTATTGTTTATTGCTAGAGTGAGGTGCATTTTCAAACGAAAAAGTGGCTAGAAACACCAATATATTGTTTACTTACTGTTTATATTTGGTTCATACCTGTTATGCCATTATTAGTTGTGTTTTGATTGTGAATTTATAGCAAATACTGCAATCGGTACACGAGCAAAAATTAAGGTGAGTTAAGTTAAAAGCAAATAAAAACAATATAATATTTGTTTCCACTTTGCAAAGTGCAAGAGCACATGTATAGGTCTCGATATTATTATTATCTAAGATATTTAAACTTGTTCCAGATGCCAAGAAACTGCTGTGTGCCGAGGTGCAAATCCAACTATAGGAGTTCCCTGAAGACTGAGGAACTGCAAACAACATTTTCATTTCCAAAAACTTCCGAATTACAGAAATTATGGCTAAAAGCTATACACCGAGATAATTATACGGTAACAAAAAATTCTGTAGTGTGTGCGAAACATTTTGAAAAAAATGAAATCATTAGATTTGAAACATACAAAGATAAAGAAGGAGTAAGTCGAGAACACAAACTTAAACATCCAATCCTCAAAAGCAACGCTGTACCACATATTTTCGAGAACCAGCCCAAATATTTAAATAGACCTGCCCCTACCATCCGAAAAAATCCTGAAGCTAGAAAAAGTGATATTGTTAAAAGACATACCGAAACTGTAGAAAATTATCTTCAAAGTGATCTGATTCCAAGCTTTGAAAATTTTGTAAACCTTCTTGAAACTAAAATAACTCTGAATAAATGGCAATGTAAAGTAGCTTCGACATTTGTACATTTTTATATGTTAAATATTGATCGTGATGGATATGACTGTGATATTGAAAATTTGAAAATTGTTTCCAGTGTAAGTGTTAGCCAAGAATTAGTGGTAAGTATTTTTGTTGGAGACAATGAGATTACAAGTAGTGACCTTATGTGGATTCTACCGAGTAGTAGAAAACTCAGGAGGTGGTCCCAAATAGAAAATTTATTGACTCGATACACTTTTGTTAATGACATTTCTTTAGATTCAATTTATTGTTTTAAAAAAGCTCAGTATTATCTTCAAGAAGGTATCAAAAAACTTGATGAAGGTTGTGAGTACAAAAACTTATTAGGAATATTATTGAATCAACTCTTTTTACTTGATTGTAAAAAGAAAAGATATAGCATGCCAACTATGTTGTTTTCA